GACTGGCCCTTAGTGGTCAAGCTAATCATCTGCAGGTTGGGGTTAGGCAGAATTTGTCTAGCCATGTCTTGGCTGATTAAGGAGGCCCCAGGTCCTTACGTGGCATGTAGGGAGGCCGGTTCAGAGTTGTATCCCTGCAGCCAGGAGCAACTGCCCCGTTCACGAAGCTCGAAGGTTCATTCATATCCTACAAATGTCACACACATACACATACACATATACATGGTGTAGTTATAAAGACAATAACACTATGGCAACTCCATAGTGGGTAAATAATTTCACCATCTCACAGTTCAAAGTGATGCTGGCCAGAGAGGTTCATCACATGAAGGAAAAAAATTAGCTAAAAATAGCAATTCATCTCTACCTACTGACTGCCCAAGAGTGTTATATAAAAAGATTACCTGCAGTGCAAGCAGAGTTCTAATAAATTAGTAGTAATCACCCTAGGTATTTCACAGCAGAAATTTATGCCTTATACAACTGCACAGAATAAAGGGTCTCTGGGCTATTTTGGGACAAGTACAGTCTGAGATGTCCAAAAGCTTTCTTGAAGGAATGTTAGTGTCTTGACTAAGGTCAGTGATCCCTATGCAGGTCGAGGTTCACACAACAGCTAACCGTGTGTACACAGACAAGCACCCTGTACTCACAATCCACATGCCATCAAACTTCAAGCTCTTCTCTGGACTCTGTGGATTGGTGTAGAGCTCTTCCATTTCCCTCTTCCACCACAGAGCAGTCGAGTTCCGGAAAAAGTCTGGGAAGGCCACATAAGCTCTGTATTGCTATGAAAATAAAACACAATTCATTTGTTCCAGACCAAGTCCACAAGACAGCAAACAGGAGAAGTACTGAAATCTTTAACTCATGCTAATACTTGTACAGCATTGGGGTAGCGAGTGTGAGAGATAGTCTGAATGGCTCCTTTATAATATAAAGTATTTAGTTTACTGCAAAAAAGAAGTACAAAGAAAAGAGATAAGCACAAACTATACATCCTTTATGCACTTAGAAAACATACATACACTTTTTCTCCTCCGCATACATGCACGAATAGTGATAACCAATTCAGTGAACTGATGGTCCTAGCCTTAAAGCTTTATCCTCAACTGTCCTCTCACTTCCCAAGGACTTTACAGAAACAAAGGAGCAAGGGACCGACTGCAGCTAGCAGGGTCAGACTTCAGATGCATTGTGCAAGTTTGGGAAGAATCATCTAGTTGCTATCCCCTCTAGGAACTAGGTGTCAGTAAGGCTCCAGTTGAGGATATGGCTCTCTTTGGGGACCTCAGTTCTGCCTACTTTCAGGATCCAATGAATCCTTAGTTGTGTATAAGGAGAAAGTTTCCGCCTTCCTTTCTCTTCCTCTTTCCTCAAATAATAAAACAAACGTCTACATCATACCATCAAAGTGGAATCCGAAGTCTCATTCCTTCACTACATTGAAACTTTTTTGAGAACAAGAACTTTAATTTATACTCTCTATTTTCTTTGTTAAAGTTGAACTGAAGTCATCAAGCCCTTGCTCAGATTTTTCACTTATGGCTGCCATGTACCAATTGACCTACACTTCTTGTTTTTTGCGGGATAATTGGAGACAAGAGTCACAGAACTTTGTCTACCCAAGCTGGGTCTATACTTCAATTCTAAAATCTCAGACTTCTGAGTAGCTATAGGCACAAGCCACTGGTACCCACCTTAATAAAGATTGTATCATTTATCTACATATCCATTCTCGGCTAACTTTAGAGCCTGGTAACTAATAAGTTAATGAGAATGAACAATAGTTATACTTGGTCATATTAATAATAATGTAATAATAAGAAACAAAGGTTCAGGTATGCATTCACACTATCATACAACACAAACATAAAAAAGCCTTTCTGTCACTCCATGTTTCTTTATGTAGAAGGTGATGGTCCTTGGTGTATTCAGGAAATTCTTTTTCCTGGGTGGATCTCTGTGTTATTAGAATCAATGAGCTAAAAAACACGGTTGGCAAGGGTAGATAGGATGTTAGAGAGAACACCAGGCTTGAGAGAATGTAGCCTTTCACAAACTAAACCAACTTATATTCCTGTGCTGAGCACACAGAGACCAGCTTCATCCCTTCAGATTTGACAGGTGTCCTGAAATAAGGTTTTGTTTAAATTCCTACCTTCACTGTCCAGGTGACCAAAGCAACCTATGCTGTGACAAATATCCTGTCTATGAATTGTAATTGTTGAAGAGTTAAGAATAAGACAAGGTACTTGCTCTCTAGAAGAAGTCCTATCACAACCCTGAGACCCTAGCTCACAGGTACTCATAGAGCATTTGATAGCAAAGCAAACATGTGTTGAATAAGTCCTAATGCATTAGTTCACTGGGTCCAAACCTGAGCCAAATGATAAGACCAAAGTTATTCTGGACCATATATTCATTCAAGCAAGCTATCATAATGGGTGAAAAATGAGATCCAAAGTCCTGAGCTACCTCTGTCTATACAAGCAAAATTTTAATAGAAGCCTCAATACTAAGTGGCCAAAGTAAATTTAGAAACCTAAGATAAAAGTTGGGACCATAATTTATCATTGTGCACATGGACCTATTTCTCCAAAAGTTTAAGAAGTAAAGAATGGGCTGGGAAGTAGGCTCAGTTTAGAGTGCTTGCCTCGCACACATGAGGCCCTGGGTTT